CCCCTCCACCCTTCCCTATTTACAAAGACTTTATTTCTATTTTCTCCATTTCTCATCATTTTTCCTTTCCCTTCTTTCCTTTCCCCTCCCCCTCCCACTACCCCTACCCCTTTGGACCTTTTCTTCCTATTTTGCATTATCGATTATTCACTGTAATAATTGGTACATTTTAGGTATACAATATAATGACATTCATCATTGGAAATTTGCACCTTTACATAATCTCTCTTCGTTAACACAACAATTTTCAACACCCTCAAATGCTAGAGGAATGAGCATCTCAGTCCTGAAGAGTAAGGGCATCTGGATGGAACTTTCCAATATTCACTAGGGTCATTGCTTTCATTCCTCTCCCTTTTATCATTCGTAGTTTTTCTTATTATTATTGCCATAATTACTATTGTTGCTGGTATTTTCATCTAGAAAGATCAAATATCTTCTCATCACTCTACCTGGGATATAACACCCATATTATTGAATCATTTTACTTTTGGCACAAACTTCCTGAAAGAAAAGCTTCTTTTGTCTTTTATTTATTTATTTATTTTTGTACCAGGGATCAAACTCTGGACCTTGCGTTTGCAAGGCAGGAGCGATGCCACTGAGCTAAATCCCTGGCCCAAGAAAAGCTTCTTTTACCTCTTAAGGTATATGTTAATTTTCTATTCTTTCCATGTTTCTAGTAAACTTGTGTTTTTGTCAAGTTGTTCCAGGAATATGTTACCTAAGCCAGTCTGTTAATAAGTTGTTTTTCACTTAGATCTTGAGAACTATTTCATTTCAGGTAATTTTGATTAACATGCAGATTCACAGTATCTGACTAAAGACAATCAAGGTAGAAAATATAGTCTTTCATGTTTTTCTTTCAAAAGTGATTATTTTGGAGAGACATAAAATGTCTAAATAAATATTTAAAATTTAAAGAAGGAAAAATTATTATAGTGAAATTTCTATAAATACAAGTGTTTATTTTATCAGAGGATTAGTGAGTAATGTGCTTGCAAGGTGAAGCTGTGGGTTTATATAATATTTTGAATAATTTAAATTCTCTATTTAGCTTCCTGTTACTATAACAAAATACCTGAAATAATCAACTTAAAAGGAGGAAACATTTACTTCAACTCACAGTATTGGAGGTTCCAGTTTATGGTCAGTTGGCCTATTGCCTTTGGGTCTGTGATAAAGCAAAAACATCATAGTGGGAACTCCTAGTGGGAAAGTCTGTTCACCTCATGGTCAGGACAAAGGAGAGAGAGAGACCAGGGTCTCACACAATCTTCTCCTTCCACTAGAGCCTACCTTTTAAAGGTTCTATCACCCCACAAAAGTACCATGGACTGCCAACCAAGCTTTTAACACACTACCCTTTAAGGGACATTGCAGATTAAACTATACATCATAATTATTGTTTGTTTTGCCACTGTATATAAACCCAAATAAAGACATACAATTGTGAATCTATGTAAAAATAGCAGATTGACTACTTGCAATTCAGGTATAATCCTTGAAAAGAGTAACTGTCTTAGACCTTTTAATAGAAAATTACACTTATTGAATATGATGCATTTAATAAGATATTCATAAAAGAAAGAATCACATGGTAAGAAAAACAATGAAAATATTCACTAACACTATTTAAGCTAATGAAAATGACAGATAATTGAAATTATCCTTAAAATATGTAGCCAGTTATTCTAATTCTTTTTTTTTTTTTGGTACCAGGGTTCGAACTTGGGACCTTGTGCTTGCGAGGCAGGTGGTGGAACCACTGAGCTAAATCCCTGGCTAGTCTAAATAGAAAAATCTAAAACTAAATACTTTAAAATTAATAAGTACTTCTTGTTATCTATATTAATCTCTCGAAGGAAAAATCCCAGCCGAAATAGTTAATAAAAAAAAAAAACTAGGGGTATGTTTCAGTGGTAGAGTTCTTGCCTAGTATGTGCAAGGTTCTGGGTTCAATCACTAGCACCATATCAAAAAATTACTAGTAAAGCAATGTCAATTTGAAAATTATCAATAGGTCCTGAAGATCAGAATTCACCAATTCTACACTTGGGTATTTACTATGTAAACTACTGTTTCCAACAACTTATTTATAAAATCAAAGACATTCACTTCTCTTTTTGCTTGGTTCTCATACATCTTTGTTCAAATACATCTATTCAAATTAGGACACAAGCTTTTGTTTCAAGATTCCATATATTCAGTGGAGGATTATGCTTTCATAATCACATGAATGTGTGCTATTTTGTTGAAATGTGTCTCATTCACTTTTCATTGAGATAATGATCCTTGTCCTGTGCAGAAAAACTCTTGCAAAAACCAATAGCCTGTCTAACTAAGTGTAGTGCTCACCTATAGGAACAAAATGTTTCTGAACTTCAGAGAAGAGACTTCTTTTTACAAGAAGCAGAATCATGGGTGGAACTCTGTTTATTGTTTTCACAATTGTTCAGTCTTGGTGATGAATGACTCTATATTATTTCCATTATTGTCGAAGAACTAATGTGACCACTTAATTCACCCTAAATAACAGCTAAAGTTCCAGGTTATATAATGTTCACATTTTTCAAATGATGACTTATCAAAATTTGGTTAAAAACTATTATTTTCCCAAAACTGATTTGGTATACAGCTTTAAAAACTAGTGGATAAAATAGTATAATTATGGGAATTCAGAACTTTCATTCTTGGTTTATTAAGTAGAAAGTGACAAAGCAGTCATTTTGACATGAATGTGATTCCTTTAGCTAAGTGAAATAAATTTGTTCTATTTCATAGATTGGAATATTTCAAAGACTAATAATGATAGAAATCAAGGAAACAAATGGCAGTCATTAATATGGGTGAAATGTGGAAGCAATGAAATACCTAGGTCTCAGATTATCTATTAAATGTAAAAACT